ATTTCTGCTGCACTTAAGGTTCCTAAGAGCACAGTGGCCTCTATAATCCTTAAATGGAAGACGTTTGGGATGACCAGCACCCTTCCTAGAGCTGGCCGTCCGGCCAAACTGAGCTATCGGGGGAGAAGAGCCTTGGTGAGAGAGGTACAGAAGAACCCAAAGATGACTGTGGCTGAGCTCCAGAGATGCAGTCGGAAGATGGGAGCAAGTTGTAGAAAGTCAACCATCACTGCAGCCCTCCACCAGTTGGGGCTTTATGGCAGAGTGGCCCGACGGGAGCCTCTCCTCAGTGCAAGACACATGAAAGCCCGCCTGGAGTTTGCTAAAAAACACCTGAAGGACTCGAAGATGGTGAGAAATGAGATTCTCTGGTCTGATGAGACCAAGATAGAACTTTTTGGCCTTAATTCTAAGCGGTATGTGTGAAGAAAACCAGGCACTGCTCATCAACCTGTCCAGTACAGTCCCAACAGTGAAGCATGGTGGTGGCAGCATCATGCTATGGGGGTGTTTTTCAGCTGCAGGGACCGGACGACTGGTTGCAATCGAGGGAAGGATGAATGTGGCCAAGTACAGGGATATCCTGGACGAACACCTTCTCCAGAGTGCTCAGGACCTCAGACTGGGCCGAAGGTTCACCTTCCAACATGACGATGACCCTAAGCACACAGCTAAAATAACGAAGGAGTGGCTTCACAACAACTCCGTGACTGTTCTTGAATGGCCCCGCCAGAGCCCTGACTTAAACCCAATTGAGCATCTCTGGAGAGACCTGAAAATGGCTGTCCACCCACGTTTACCATCCAACCTGACAGAACTGGAGAGGATCTGCAAGGAGGAATGGCAGAGGATCCCCAAATGCAGGTGTGAAAAACTTGTTGCATCATTCCCAAAAAGACTCATGGCTGTATTAGCTCAAAAGGGTGCTTCTACTAAATACTGAGCAAAGGGTCTGAATACTTATGACCATGTGATATTTCAGTTTTTCTTTTTTAATAAATCTGCAATAATGTCAAAAATTCTGTGTTTTTCTGTCAATATGGGGTGCTGTGTGTACATTAATGAGGGAAAAAATGAACTTAAATGATTTTAGCATATGGCTGCAATATAACAACGAGTGAAAAATTTAAGGGGGTCTGAATACTTTCCGTACCCACTGTATGAATAACAACTTTAAGGTGCAGACATTTCCTTGGACTCTTTTTATAAAATTAATCTTACTGTTTACTGACAAAGTTAGAGAAGGTTGTTGGTGAGGAGAACTGAAATGTGTATCCACTCTGCCTTCTGACTTACTTGTTTAGGTTGGTCCACACCCTTGTGCAAGTCTGTCTTCACCTTGTTGTTGGGGTGGTTTGTTACCTTGGTCACTGGTTGCTTGAAGATGGATGCCGTCTGTCGGACTGGCAGTGTTGTGTTTAAATCAGGCTTTGCCTTCAAGAGAGACGACATGATTAGCCAGAAATCTGAGAACCAGGTTTCATCAGCTTCCATCATAATAAAACAAAACCTTTTTAAAATTAAGACTAAATACTCTGCATGTATTTGTGTTAGCAATCAAAATTTAACAAGAGTAAAACTATTACATGTTTATGATGTGGGTCACAGTGAACAATTTGGGACAACGCAATGGTTTATACAACAACTACTGCCAAGATGATTAATCACACGCAGGTTTATGACAGAGTGGTGAAGAAAGTCATTGTTTAAAAAAAAGTCTCACGACATCTAAACTACTGTTTACCAGAAAGTGCACAGGAGGCTCTAGAACAAAGCTGAAGAAGGCTGCATGGTCTTGTGACACATACCTGAATTTTGTGGCCATAATAATTATGATCAACACTTTGTTTTGGGCTGACCAGTCAAGATGTGTGGAGCGGATAGGTCAGTAGAGACCTTCACTAATCCACAATCTGTCACTTGACAGGGCTTGAGCAGGGTTGCTGAGAAAGCTATGAAACAAGTATTGTCTAGCAGTACAAGGCTGATACAGATCTACCCACAGAGACACATGGCTAAAATGTTTCCTTTTGACATTAAAGCATCTTGCTCTGTTGGTCATTGTCATGATTCATTCAATGATGTGAACAAATAACATGAAAAAGCCCAAAGAATGTTAATATGTTCTAACTTCTCATACTGTCAGTTGATTTTATTGTGCCCAGAAATCACTGGAAACTTACCCTGTGAATTCTGCTGTAGGATATATTTTACTTTTACGTAGCACTGCACAGTCATATGTGCCTCATAAATACCAAACCCAAACAACAGTCTCACCCTAATTTGATGGGTCATGTTGTGGAGATGCTTGTTCCTGCTGTGCTGGACTTTGGTCGGGAGCAGTCGTCCAGCCCTGGAGCGCCTGGCACTCGCATCTGTGTGAAGGCTCCTGCCCAGGCCACGGGCTATCTGGGGCTTGTTGAGAATGTGCTTAACAGGCACACTAGAAAAATCACAATCACAACACTGAACTCTTCAAAGACCAAAGAATTAAAGCAATTAGGCCATGGGCACCAACGAATGGCCTCCCGGTTAATATAAATGGCTGTTCCTCTTCACAGGCTGAAGTTAGGCTTAGTTTTCTGAGGTCACCTCATTGCCTAACTAAAAATGATGCCGCACACCTGTACATGCCCACACATTCGTTGAAAGCCGTGAGGACGTTGTTTGGGTGTGCAAGAGGAGCTTTAACGTGTAAAACTCACAAATCAATAATATGGTGCACCATGTTTAGTCTGTCCCTGATTTATCTGTCTGCCCTTACAGGAGTTCACTTTGTGCGTATTTAGGGCAAACAGATAAATCGGGGGTAGGCTAAACATGGTGCGCCATATTCTTCGTGTACGAGTTTTAACGGGGTCTTTGTGCTGTAGCTGCAATTTGTCTACTGTATTTCAGTACTAGCGTGATCGTAGCGGGGCCCAACGCACTGCAAGTTATGCGTGTGTAAACAATGAAACTTGGCTAGCTAATCAAGCTAGCAGCGTCCGGAACGTCAACGCAACAGCAACCAGCTTCTCGATTACTGTTGCTGAAAGTTGAGTTTTCCTAACGTAATACGGGCAAAACACTACAAAGCCTACGCTTAGTTACCTTAACAAACGCGAACAAGAATAGGCTTGTTCAGGCGCACGAGTTCTTTTGAAATGCATTATGCATGTGGGCATTTCCTGCAGAGAAACTTTAATTCTGCCAACTCCGTCGACTACAAAATGAAAGTCCCACCTTTTTCTTTCCATGATCCAGGTTGCCTCACTTCACTTGCGTGTGATACTGGCTTGGGAATGGTAAGAAGCCAAGTGGTTGTCTGCCAGTGTAATCATAAATTTACACCGAGTCTGGTTTGTTAACGAACCTGTCCCGCTGTCTCTCACGTCAAGACCTTTACAGATCACTCCGCCAACATAGACTCAACATTGGATCCATCCGCTAAACTTCTGTGAACTAGTCCAATAATCTGAATTTGTCTGTGATACACTCACAGCACTGGAAACTGAACACGCCACTATACTTTTGAGGGAAAACCGTATAACATATAAAATGACAGTAGAACTGTACACTTTATTCCACTAAATCTATTCACCAGATGTAATGACTTTGCAAAGTAAATAGTTATGTAAGGTGATTTTAATGAATAGATATTATACTGTATTTTAAGCAAACTACTACAGAAAGGCAAATATTAATAAGATTAGTTTGACATAGTACCCCAGGACCACAACATTAAAATGTCTGTAACCAGCAATGTCTGAAAGGACCATTCTAAACAATGTTCTTTTACTTATATGCACTTGTAGAGCTAATACTTTTAGTATAGTAGTAATTGAGTTAATTTACATTATTGCACTTTTTACTTTAAACAAGGTTCTGAATACTATTTGCAATATTTAAAAATGAGATGTGTAGTAAATATGTGCCCACACAGCCTTTAGTTACAATCTTAACAATGAGATGTAAACACACAAACTGCTTTCACACAGACACAAATAACAAAAATGGAACATCATCTATCATCCAAACTCAGGACTGGAAATTAGCATCACTCCAAAACTGACTGTCTTGTCTGGTGACACAGGATTAGATGATGATTTTAAGAATGTGTTCAAATCAGTATTATCTAAAGACATATATAAAACAGGTATATTTTTAACTGATTTTTATCACTTAGATATTTCCTCTTAAAAAAAAGAAAGACTTACATTTACAACTAAACCATTGTTTATACCTGTCCCTTATGGGTCAAAACAACTCAGAGGTGCTTTGTACAAGCCCAAGGAGAATGCTGCCTCCACTCAAGCGCCTCACAAGCCTGCACTCATGTTCACAAGCAAGTGGACATCACAGGGAGACACTGAGCATCAAAATAATTTAACCCATGGCAGGTGTAATAATTACACACATACAGGATAATTCTCACATACTTTAATGATTCAAAACAAGAGTATGACAAGGACAGATTTTTCCACTTGCAAATCAAGTAACTTAAGCAGAAAAAGCAAAGTTTTATATTCCTTCCATCCATGTTGTCTGGTGGAGGAATGTTGAAATGCCAAATCCTGGTGCATTTCAGAGGATGTTGGTGGTGACTAGTTCAGTGTTGTCTGAGCTGCAGGACGAAGATGACTGCTTCCAGTAGCCTGGCACACAGGTAGACCAGAGTGCTGCTGCAGTGCTTCTTGTTCGTTATTTACAGTGGGTCTTTGTGTACAAAAACAGCACATACCTGCCAGGAGAAAGCAAAGTCAATACAGTATGTAGAACAGTGAAAAATGTGGTTTAGTTTTGATAGCAAAATTAAAATAATTTAAAAACTGAAGAGTAAAGAAGATATAAAGTCAACAAATTCACTGGGAAAAGGTTAAGTAACATGTTTAGATGTATGCGCAACATTCAACCCAGTGACCACAAAATATGGAAGTTAAATATCTAAATATTTCCAGTGGCTGAATGCTTTTCAAATATTCCTGTCTTATTAGAAGCTTCAATATACAGTGTAGTCTTGAAATAGGCCACAGTCCTTGATTCTAGTCTCCCGACACCTAAACGTCCTGACTTACTGTCTTTGAATTTACTCAGGCAATGACATGTACCTAATTTTTACCCAAATAGCATGTGAAAGTACAGGTTGGGCCACAGAAAAGTAGCCTGTCTCCAATACTGGTGCCAAGCTCTTGTGGGCTACTTTTCCATGGCCCACCCTGTATTTTGTGTTAGAATACATAAATCATCTCTTTATCAGCATTTCACATTGTTGGTGCACAATGAGATCCTGGATATTTTTGTTGTAGTTTACACAACCAGGGGAAAAACCCAGCCTGAATAAAGACTAAATGCCCATTTAAGACAGGTCTTCTCTTTAACATTTTCTATCTCATCTTCTTTCAGCAAAAGGTTTCAATATAAAGCTGACTTCACAAATGGACTGGAAGGCAGCTATATCCATAAAATACAATGTACAATTACAACACATAATGCTTTCCCAAATCATACATAACACAACAGCTGCAGTACAGCCTGACACCCTGAATAACCAACCTAAAAAGAAAAAAAAAATCTTTCTGCTGTCTCCAAAAGAGCTCAGCCTGCTAAGAAAGTGGATACACTTCATTTTTTATATTCCTTAAAATTTATTTTATATGAGAAATCCAGGAAAAGGCAGTATCTATGGTGACATCCAGATATTTGTACAAGGACATTTGTTTAATTGCTACAATATAGTGGCTGCCTCACAACTAGAAGGGTCCAGGTTCGAGCCCAGGCCAACCCGGTGCCTTTCTGTGCAGAGTTTGCATGTTCTCAACAAATCAGTTGCATGTTTCCATGTTCTCCCTGTGCCTCTGGGTACTCCAGCTTCCTCTCACAGTCCAAAGACATGCAGCTCAGGTTGATTGGAGACACTAAATTGCCTATGAGAATCAGTGAGTGTGTGTGGTTGTCTGTCTACATGTCAGCCCTGTGACAGAATGGCGACCTCTCCAGTGTGTACCCCGCCTCTGGCCTACTGTCAGCTGGGATTGGCTCCAAGCCCCTGCAACCCTCTTCAGGATAAGCAGTATAAATAGTGGATGGATGGATATTGAAAATGGAGATGGCCAACACTGTATTCTCTATATTGGTAGTAAGGCCAGTTTTGTTACACCATTCAATCCGCCAGTCAATGTAACACTGGTGCAACAATATGGCTCTTGTGTGTGTTTCACAGCTTCTACACAACAGTGTAGTTTCATTATATGGAGATATTCGGCTTTGCTAAATAAAACACACTTATTAACAACAGGAGGCAAATCTCCACCTAGTGCTGCCTGTGGTCTCTGAAAGGAAGTCTGCCCCTATTGTGTGAAAAGTCCACTATTATTTTGCCACTGTTCTCTTGGAATGCTGCCACCACAATAAGTAAGGGAAAAATAATCTCTACCATTCTAAATACAGGGTCAATTTAGCAAATATGTAAACACTCCTACAATGTTTATGCTCTGTAATAATCATGTTCTTGGTGTAGTGACAGACAGAAAACCACATGTATTAAGACAATGCCACAACATTTGATATCAGTCTAAAGCCAATAAAGAGGCAACTGCTACTTTAGTTACACAGATAATGATGCTGGGCCATGCTTCAATTGCTATTTTCCTTATTCACTGTGTACAGTCATGCATACTCTACTTTAATTCTTCATTTTTTGGTTTCCCATTTCTTGGACTAACCTGAGTGTCATTTAGTCATCCTTCTTAAATTTGCCATTGATGTAGGGAACATAATCCAAAATCAGCCGCCAGTCTGTGATGTGGACCAGACCTATGAATCCAACTGTGCCCCAGAAAGACATAGATGTGGACCTGTCAAGTATAAGAAGCATTCAACATTACATATGCACAGTTCTTTCACTTAATATACAAACAGGGGACCTGAGAATATTAGATTAATTAGGTGAGGTAAGTGCTTGTTGACCAATACAAAATAAAAGTGCCAAAAGAAATTGTGATAAATAACTTTAATCATAATAGTCGATTATTTTGTTTATTGGGTAAAATACCAATGAATTTGCTGGCTAAAGCTTTAAAAATACAAATGCGAGGAGTTGTGTATGCTTTTTTTTTAACTTCACAGTAGTCAGCTTGTAAACATTTAAGGAAATTAATCTGACATCATTCCTGACCGTTCAACATTACACTAAATAATTAGCTACCTGACCAACCTACCACGAAAACAGTTCCAGACCAAGCTACCCTGACGGATAGGTGAGATCAGTCTTCCAGCTAGCTATCTAGCTAGTACGTTAAATACGTAATAAAGGTATGAAATTCACATTTTTGCTACGCGGACTCGTGCGCCCCCTCAAACAGTGGACACAGCGAGTGGCTCGGCCTCTCTCACGGCGATGACCTCGGCTAGTCTAAGCTAGGCTAGCAGCTAATGTTAAGGTTAGCTAAAGGACACAGATATTCTGTTTGCCAAAAGTCCAACCTATTTCCCATTTGAACGACCACTACAGTGTAAAACCATCTTACCAGGCTCTAGCAATAGAAGCAGATTTCGGTCCAATGACTTTGCTGAGCATTTTGCCTAAAATATAGCCTCCACTCCTAATGCCAGACGCGCTACTTTAAAAGCTTACAAACACTTCCGACTTTGGTTTGCTGTGCGCATGTGCGTACAGAACATCCGGTTTAAAAAAAAGTCTTACAACAATCACAGCTACAGAAAATTGCATATCTTCTCATAGTATTATTACCCAACTGGAACGCCCTGTGTCAAAATCATTTTATATATTAATATTCATTCAGTTAAGTTGCGACTCGTGCATATTCCTAAATACATTGTTTATCCAAATTATTAACATTTATTAATTTGAGGACAGCAAACCTGGAGCCGGCGCAGAAGTATTCATTTGTTTCTGGGACTTTGTACAAAATATAATGAAGCTGCAATGTATAGTCAGCTGAATGCAGTGTACTTTACATTGAAAGGTAACAGAGCACCTTACTTCTGCCCCCTAGCGTACAAATTAAGCTACTATTTATGGTAAACTACTGATCTCTACCTGCTTAGTGTGACTCAGTTGGTTCTATGGACTCTGTATTCTGTATACATTAGTTTTATTATTGCTGCAGTACCTGACTGCCATAACTGTCTCCGGCTGTCATGACCACATATAACTTAGTTTCAAAAACAATGCGGGAGAAGAGGAGGGGATACTGCTTGAATTTGTGACTCTTACTTTGCCCTTAGCAGTGAAAAAAATTAGAGGGAGAGGTTAGTTAATTTAGCTTTAAATGTGTAGTTAAAAAAGATATCAGATAAAGGTAGGGTTTATTATTAAAATGGCACATTTATTGCTACATTTCTGTTATATATACAACAGTTCTCAATGTCTACTTTATATATAAAATATAGGAAACTGGAGGCACTTTGAGGAAGTAGCCTACATAGATGTTGTCCCCAAACATCAGTGAAGACAAAAAAAAAGATCTGTAGCAGGCCATGTGTTGTTGAGGACAAAGGGCTTGTTCACAAAGAATATCAGGTGCATGTTTTGATACTTGGTTACTTAGACAAATCTTTCATGTAAAGAAATACCACGTCTTCAGTAGCGATTTTCCATATCACAACAAGACCAAGTCTGAGGCTACTCCACGGGGCAAAGTTTGTGAAAGTAGTTGTAAAACAAATACTGCTAAATATCAGTATCAGCTTACAATGATAAAGCTGATAAGGACATATCATACATCAATGCACATGCCAGTCAAGGACAAAATTATGTTGAACAAAACCAGTACATAAAAAGATGAGAAATTAATCAGTGTCAAAAATGTAGACCAGGTTATTAGTCAACTTACATCTAATGACACGGAAGAAGTGTCTGTTTATGTAATCCCTCATTTAGATGTTCTGAGACACTGTCAGAGGTTAGTGAAGTATATATGTTTGTATATATCTGTATTATTAAAAAAAGTACAACCTATAAATCCTTAAAATGCAACATCATCCACCATGTAGCAGAGGAGTATTCAGGCACTGGGGAGTAACCACTATCAAAACTCCCAAAGTCAGGAAAATGACTAAGGCCACCCTTTGTAATTCATTTTATGCTTCATATCACAATGAAACAATGAGCTATGTTGCAGATTGTGCAGAGTGCCCCTACTTCCCTACGCTCAAACTAATCAACAAGCCCATCAGAGACCTGAACATCAGGAAGCGGAGTGGAGGGAGTGCTGAAGAGAAAATATTGTTTGATATAAAGAAAAACGGTCACAAACACTAGAACAATCCAATAACAAACGGACTGACAGGTTTGTGTTGAAACAAGAATTATGTTTTTTGTTTTCAAGAGTAATATCACAACATGTGATGTTACAGCCAGATAATTTAGTCATTTCCAACATTTATAAGTACCTGGCACAAAGGAAAACGCCTCATATTTGTTCCTGGAATCTAAATTGATAATTGTCTTACATTTAAACAATGTAAAAAAAAATGAAAGCATTCTGAATGAAACAAAACTGGTACAACTATCTTACAAAGTAAAAAAAATAAAACAACAAAAAAGAAATTAATTCTACAAAAGGAAGATCCTTACAACAGGTTTTGCAGTTGTTCAAATGGGACAAAATAAAGAAAACAATAAGTGCTCAACACAGAGCAATAATCAAAACAAGTCAATCAGTGGCCAAAGTAGCAGTAACACTCCTGATCCCTTTTAATACTCAGTTAATTTTGCTCTAGCAAAACATTATTTACCACAGCACAAATTGCTCTGAGATTTGTGTTAAGCAAGTCCACCGTACTGTAACAGTGACTTTAAGTATGAATTGATGTAGGCAGGATGATGTGACACTGGCTGTATCAGAGTCGGAGGATTTGAGACCGAGCCTCGGAGTGACTGACATCATGATGGTTTAACATGTGAGGGTGAAATCCAAAGGCAGCCTCAAAGAAGGAAGGCTGGGATGCCTGGGTGCATTTGATTCAACATCACTGTTAATCCTGCATTTGTGAAGAGTCTTTGTGTTTGAGTTGGGTGTGAGTCTCTCTCCAGCATTTTTTCCATCCCACTTGCATGGCAGTGACAATAACAGATGTACAGGTCTTCGAGAGATAAGACTCAGGGATCCACATTTAAAAAGAAAGATATATTTCCCATAAAATGTGAAGCCACAGGTTTGTGACTGTGGCACCTTTTCACAAAACAAGAAAAAACATACAGCCAGAATTACCAGCATACCAGAAAGAGTAGTCAGCTCTCTGATTGCCCAGTCAGCGGCAGGATGTCTCCCATGAGAGGATAACATAAATGGCTATATTTCTCTTCACCAAACACTATGCTTTAGGACTGAAGCAGATTGTGTTCAATCATAAAATCAAAAAACTCTATGTCCCTCTGCTTGTAAAGAATGTAAGACCTCCTCCTCAGATGGGAATGCCAATAACTATCCAGTGATACAAAGTCTAAATTTGCCAACATGATCAATTGATCGAAAAGTTGTATTTGATCCAAGAACGTTTTGCTCCCCAACATGTAAAGCAACTTTTTCAAAATGTTGTACAAAAACATGATAATAAACAATGTCCAACTTCCACTGTCCCCAAACCAGTGTCCTTGGTTCAAAGTATTGTCATGTAATGATTTATTCTGTATGACTGTGCTTGTTACTTTTGTATTCATCGTCAGGAATGCGGCCACCTGCTTTGTCAGCAATGAGGTGTTTGCGTGTGTGCTCTCCAAAAGTTGTTGAACACACACACTGAGATGCATGACAATGATACATTAAGGCCACGTGTTCCAAAGGCTGTACAATCAACAGGAACTAGAAGAGAACAGAGAAAAAGAAGTGAATATATTTCCATAAACATGTTTAAAATAAGCAATGAGTACAAGGTGTTGGTTGTTACTTACTGACAGGTCCAAATCCCACTGCAGATTCTGAGGGCTTACCTGAGAATTACATATGGTTCACAGGGTTGTGTCCATCCCCTCCGAGACCAGGGTGACCCCCGCCCAGCTGTAGCTGAGGGTCCATGCCCGACACTTTGTCCTCCTCTCTCCTCTTCAGGCAAGCAGCTTTTGGGTTCAAATTACGTTCTTTGAAATAAATGAAACACACACTGATTATAAACACAAGCAAGAATGGTTTATCATATCATGTTTTTATAAATACGTCCTTTAAGAGATTCATATAGATTTTGACACAACAGGACAAAACAAAGGGAAAACAGAAAAGACGATGGTAAGATAGGAAAATCAAAATTTGGACAACAATGGTAGAAGTGTGCCAGAGCAGTAGGGGTGTACTTCCTCCAATATTCTCATTTTCTCTTCCTTTCATCAAATTTCAAAGTGAGACAGGCAAATAAAGAGAAAACTGAAGGGACACAGCAGATGAGAAAAGCTTTAAAAGGAAACTTCCTTAGATGTGGAATCTTGTTTTTTTGGTTGTTGCCAAGGTGGATCAGACCCTCCTGTATTGGCTGACCTACCTCGCACCTGTTTCTCCAGGCCCAGGATGACCTGGACAGCCTGTTGCAGGATGACAAGCTTGGTCTGGGCCTTGTCGCTTTGCAGGTGGACCTGACACATCCTGCCCAGCTCTCTGAAGGCTTCGTTAATGTCGCGAACACGCACCCTCTCCCTAGCATTGTTAGCTAGGCGGCGCTCACGCTCCCTCTGCTCTTTCTCCTCGGCAGTCAGGTTCTCATCACTCACAGAGAGAATGCTGCAGCTGAGAGGAGAAGGGGGGTTGGAGGGGCTGGTTAACACAACCCTCACTGAACCCTGGCTAGACTTCCTCACTAAAACTGGAGCTATACTGGTTTAACTCTACAATACTGTGTTTAAACTAGTGTTTATTCTCCTCAAAACCCTTATTCTGTTACTGGGAAACCCTTCATCTTTTATGAATATCTAAGTATGATGTTAACTTCAAGACTGGACAAGACCAGTGAAAAAGATCCCAGTGGAGTGGGGCTGTGTCGCAGGAGAGTGAGCTGAGGGAGGGACTCTGAAAGCTAGTTTGTTTTTGTTTTTTTAGATCCTAAATGAATGGAAATATTCTCAATCGGTCAAACCTTTAGTCTTGTAGGTTGAGCAAGATCGACATGAACTGATTTCAAGCCAAGAACAAATATATAGGAGATCAAGATACAACTGCTGAAAAGAATAACCACGTCTAATAAATCTGTCCTCAAGTCTAACCAACCAACACCGATTTTTACTTTGGTCACTGGGGTCCAGGATGGAAGTTGAAGGGATGCGGTGACTGTCCAGAAGCATGAGAGAATTCATGAGGAGGGAGAAAGGGAGAAAGAGGAAGCAACACCCCGTGCCAAGTGCAGCACATAGAGAGAGCCATGGTGAGAAAAGCAAAGGGGAGATACTGAAGGCATCATGTTAAATACATCAGCAGTACGAGATGTATTTATCTGAATGTGAGGAAGAGGAGGTCACCTTTGCCATCTGTAAAAGGAAAATGAAAGAGGATGGGGGAGTGAATGGAGAAATGCAAAGGTCTGTATCAAAAAAGGTTGGCAATGAAAGGGCTCATGCTCAAAAGGCCTGGACATGCAGCACAGAGACACAGCAACAAAGCTGAAGACAAATTAATACACATGAAAGTCTTTCACGCTATATTCTATACTATGGGTTTGAAGAGGGCATCAAAATACTGGTATAAATGATTTGAAATTAAAATGACTTTACAATTTAATAACATAATGAGGGAACACTGTAAAGTTGCATGAATACACAAAAAGGCGTTAATCCAATTAAAGGGCGAGGCACAGAGACATAAAACAGACAGGAGGCTGTGAGACAGGGCAACACATAGTGCATCAGAACAAACGGCAGGTATGTGTTACCAGAGGACGAGAACCTTAGAAGATGAACTGGAGAATGAGCCTGTGTTAAAAACAGTCACTCAGCTTCACTTCCTACTCCCATGGCCTTTACTCTGATTATTTTAGGATCGACTATAAAAAGAATAATGCCTCTATTCACTAGCAGTAAGCAGGCATAATATATCTACTACTATGAGTACAATTAAGTAATTTATAACTAACAATAACCACCAGGCCATGTCAGGAGCTGGGAAGTGAAGCCATGTGGGAGTTTTCATTTGCAAAGAGACCCTTCCCCTCCTCTTCCTTCCTCCTTGGACACCCACTGACCTCGAACTTGCTGCTCCAGGTTGAGTATAATGTTAACGGCCTGTTGCAGTATGATCAATTTGGTCTGCGGTTTCTCATAGCTCAGATGGAGCTGACACATGCGACCCAGCTCCTTAAAAGCCTCGTTGATGTCCCGCACACGTAGCCTCTCACGGGTGTTGTTTGCCAACCTCCGCACTTTCTCCCGCTCAGCCTTAATCTCCACTGGCAGATCTTCATCGTCATCATTATCGTCCAGACTAGTAAAGAGTGAATGGCAGATGAAGAGGGAAGGAAACAACAGTTTGGGTATAGATCACTGAAAATTACTCCTGAAATTTGGTGAGCAATAACTTTGTCTAATAATGTCAACAGGTCATCAAAGCTCTGAAAATCTAGAGTAACTAAATCACAGTCACAAACACTGCTACAGAGGTGGGTCATACTGGGTGTGGTCTGAGCACCAAACGGTACCAAGACCAGTGAAGTCTCAAAAATCAAGACAGCATATTCCAACCAGAACAAACTGCATCAACAATGAGATTCAGCCATTATTAACACTGACATTGGCTGCCTCATAATGTGACTGACAACCATGGCAGTGTTTACAACTGTGATTGTATAAGTCCCACTTATTAACCAAGGTTTCTCCCAATCATTTGCTCTGTAATTGTCTTTCATCTGTACCTTTACCAGGCTAAATTATGACACTTCTACTTACTAATCTTTATCTTTGACACAATCACATCTGTAAGGATGTCAGATTTATAAAAGGAGTTGGTCTTTTTGCCTAAAGGGACAAGCTAATTTGATCATGTACTTTTTAATTCTCCAAACAAGAGTAAATGATAGTTACAGTATCCTACCTAACACTTCTAAAAAGTTCAATGTTTTAATAATTCAATAAAATTAAATTTAGAAATTTAAAACATGTTTGAAGTGGAAGACAAATTAGCATTTATTACTGGCTGTATGAATCAAGCCTTTCCAACAAGCAAGGGTAATTTAGGGGGTAAGAGGAATGGTTGCGTGTCAGCTGAGTGTTTAAACCACTTAAGTCTTGCTCAACTCAGTGTGATAATAAGATGAAAGGTGTTACAAGAATATATTTACAGCTGGTCAGTCTGTGTTAACATGCAGGAAAAAATTAGGCACAAGTCCTTCCATAATTAGTGTCTTTAAACACTGTGGTCTGTAAGTCTTTAGTTGAAATAAATGAGGAATTAATCACAATAAACAATCATATATAGAAATGTTGAAAGACCATTTCTTGACATATATTATACTTGAAGTACGGCAGGATTATCTGACATTAAATTGCATGCATTAACAGATAGGTATTTATGTTATGTGAACCAAAAAACCTTGTTCGAAGGCGGGCCTTCATTTCTTTCTTCTCATCCCCTGACTTGTCAGTAACGGAGCAGTTCTCCTCATCTTCCCTCTCCTCCTGTTTGATATCACCACCATCGGAACGATTTAGGTTACCAGGCAGGCCTGTACACAGAGTTCAGGAACAAAGGCTTTGAGCACTTTTAATTTAAAGTAGTTTCTCACACTCTGAATAAAAGCAAACAGAGAAGCAGAAAGCAACAGAAAGTCTCACCGGTAAAACCTTCAGGCAGTGAACCTGTCTGGACAGATGTGGAGCCATGGTGACTGTGCAAAAGTCCTCCACTAGAGGGCAGGCTGACAGAGTCTTCATGGTGACTGGACAGCTAAAAACAACAATGAAAATGTTCTCTATTACCTTGTTAAGATTTGTAATATGTGCCAACTAGAGTTTAGAATATCAAATTCCATTCAGTCTGTCCTTCACTCCCCTCCCTATGCTCCTGTTCATCCATCTCACCAGTCCAGGCAGACGACTGACCAATCCAAGTGCTGCACTGCTGAAACCTGGAGGTAACCCTAAGCCAGACGACAGCAGACTGTGCATTTCAGCCATTCCTGTCACTCCTTGTCCGCTGGCGTGACGCTGAAGAACATTGATGGCTTCGTCTAGACGATCCTCCATTTTACTCTGCTACAAAGAAGGAAAACAATGGCAGAAGGTCATGTGTGAATTCATCTGTATTAATCTCTATGTAGCATACTTGAACATTATTTTGCTGCATCCCTAAGATGGAAAAGTAAAAAGGAGACACTGACTCACCATGGACTGAATTCCACCCTCAAAGCTAGGTGAAGGTGTGGCCTGGCCAGAGGACCGAGTCCACTGGGATGTAGAGCCTGGAGAAAAAGAAGAGGATGACAAGATTTTCTCAGATACAGTCCTGGCCAAAAATACTGCCAACCCTGATAATGCTCCCAGAAAACTGTTACAATCACAAATTCTTTGGTATTCTCATGTTTATTTCTCTTTTTTGCATTGGAACAACACAAAAAAACAAAGAAAAACAAAAACTAAAACTGATTCATTCCACACAGAACTCCAAAAATGGACTAGACAAAATTATTAACACCTTTTCAAAAATCACAGTCACAATCCTCATGGGAGAATGTCCTGTGGACAGATGAGACTAAAATAGAGCTTTTTGGTCGAGCACATAATTCTACTGTTCTCAGAAAACAAAATAAGGCCTTCAAAGAAAAGAACACAGTCCCTACAGTCAAACACGGTGGAGGTTCACTGATGTTCTAGGATTGCTTTGCTGCTTAAGGCACTGAATGTCTTGACTGGGTGTATGGCATTATGAAATCTGAAGACTACTCCTGAATTCTGGGGCACAGTGTAGGGCCCAGTGTCAGAACTTTGGCTCTGTTAGAGGTCATGGGTCTTACAGCAGGACAGTGACCCAAAGCAGACTTCAAAAAGCCCCCAGACATGGTTTAAGACAATGCACCGAAGTGGCCAGCAATGAGTCCAGATCTAAATCCCATAGAGCACCTGTGGAGAGATCTGAGAACAGCAGCTGGGAAAAGGAACCTTTCAAATCTGAGAGACCTGGAGCAGTTGGTCCAAAATCCAGTAGAGAGGTGTAAGAAACTTACTGATGGTTACAGGAAGCAATTGATTTCAGTTATTTTGTGAGTCATTAAGTTGAGGATGTCAATAAGTCTGTACAGTCCATGTTTGGAGTTCTGTGTGGAAATGTATCAGAGTTGGCTTTTCTCTGCTTTTTTGTGCATCTGACAGAAATGCAGGGGTGTAATATATTTTTTACCATGACTATATTACTGCAGTCACTGACTGCATCAACTGAGCTGCTGTAATCAAAACAGATCATGTCCTAACACATTAATGCAGAAGTACTACTCCACACTCAGCTGTGGATTTTTGCGGATACCCATTTATCCAAATGGTCGTTCCATTTTTGCTTGTCCCCCCAATACAACTGGGCTTTAAACTTGGGACTTCCAGTCTCCCTACACTGTACTACACTGTTGCATTTTGTTACTAATTTTGGCAAAATCCTGTATTATAATGTATGATGTAATCACATTTAAGTCATTACTGTTTGTTGATACAGTAATTTACTGAGTACTTGGTGTTGAACATTATGAATATAAAAGACACAATGAAAGAGGTCCTTACTGATTGTACATTTTTAACATGTGAAAGTAAGTTGATGGGGATTTGAAACTAAAGTCAAAGATAAAAATATAGTAAATATAAAACATTAAGGTGTGTTCTATACTGTGACCAAAGTATCAATCAAATCCATAATTTTAAAGTGAAATATTTCCTTAATTTAAATTTACTGGACTCGTCGCTATCATCTTGTTTTTCCCTTTTAGATTATGGTGCCAGCAGGAGAATGTTATGTATGAAGTGTATAGAGGAGACAAATAGAGAAGTGAGCCACCCTCCTTTTATTTTTACTGCATTTTCCCTTCCTCTCTCGCAAGTTATATTTAGATGGTGTGCGTATGTTCAAAAGATCATGTGAAGTTTAAGCTGTGGAGGGAGGGAGTTACATTTACAGTGTGCACAAAGAAAAATACAGTTATCCGTGTTATTTTCAAAAGTGCAGAGATAGCCCTGTCCTGTATGTTCAGGGCCAGGACATGAAAAAAAAATGTATTCTGTAAACCAATCAGATTTTTCAGGGGCAATTCTAAACTGTGCTAAGCTCATGTTTGGCAATAAATACAGTCACACACAGCAGTATACAGTCATACATGTGGGAATACTGAATCAGATCATAATAGAATTTGAATAACATCCCTACAAAAATGAGGAATTTTAACATCTTTTACTTCTATTTTCAACCCGATAGATGGAGCTGCATTGCCACTAGGAACCATTCAGGCTTAGTCAGAATGAAAACAATACACTTTTCATTTTAATCATCCTCTACACAACAGGAAAGACCCTGTGTTGAACAAACAGCCAGATGACCTTGAGGCCTCAGGGAAACATGCTTGCAGCTCCTCACTCACCTGATACAGCCCGTGGAGAGCCAGAGGGAGTAGAAGGGGACGGAGGAAAGGCGTTACTGTTTGGGTCTGAAGGATAGATCTGGATACAGAAGTTTTTGTTTTTAATTTCGTAAACACAATGTACTACAGAAATGTAGAACTCTTTGTAAGTTTTGTTTTGCTAATAAATATGCATTTGCTACTTACAGATGCCAGGGCCTTTCCGATCTCATCACCCGAACTCCCAGGCACTGTTCCTCGTTTGGCTTGATTTGGGGGGAGTGGCACAAAGCATTTCAATCAGAGCCTATATACGGTATCAACTTAACTATGTGACAGTATGCACGAAAACATTAAGAACACTGTTTAGAACAAAAGAGCACACATATTTGAGGGTTTACCCATAATAGTGTCAGTGCCAGCAATAGGGGGTGTATGGCTACTGGGGCCCCCAAAGCCACTGGAGCTAGAGTGGAAGCCAGCAGGATGAGCCCCATTCACTTCACTGCCATGCAGGGGGTAGTTTTGTGGAGAGAGGGGTAGTGGCTGCCGTTTCTTGGAAGCAAATAATAAGATCATAATTTAACTGCACAACCAGACAGAAACCCTGAATGATGCATTGGTCAAAAAGTGTCAAAGACCTCATTTTGTCTTCATAAACAAGTCAAAATTGTGAAGGCAGAGCTCACCAGTCTGTCTTGGGGGTTGATGGCAGTGAAGGGGCCATGCTGGCTCAGATGGGGGGAGTTGCCCAACATGGGAGAATAACCTGGCTGAACCATTGACCCAACAGAGCCCCATGGGTCGGAGGGTGGGTGGAGGCCTTCTGTCAGGGAGCATCCAGTGGAGGAAGGGGGAGCAAGAAGGGCGAGGGATAACCAGCCAGCGGATACAAAAAGACAATGAAGGCCACATATGAGACATGTCATATTACTGTGATGACTTCATTCAGCCGTGATGTACCATTCAGCACCCAGGCAGCACAGGGTGTTCACTGACATACGGCTACAGCGCCTGTAGAACGCTTATCTGGACTTTCATAAGTATATTATAGGAAACTCATTTCATAACCGCACTGATTGTAAAGAAACTCTTATCCTCTGTGTAAGAGTGTGATACATCTTTCTATATCTAACAAAAGCACCTTGGTCAGATTGAACTTTTCAAGCTGACACAATTAACAAGATAAAGTTCTTTAAGAAAATCTTGTTTCAGCTGACCTTGCATGTACAAAGGTGGGTAGATGTTTCCTGGCTTGGAGGCTGGGTAGCCAGCACCATCCCTGTTAAAATCCTCTGCTGAGGCTGGTGCATAAACCTACAGCAGACACACACAGAGAAAAAAGGAAAGAAAATTGTTCAGCTCAGTGCTTGAAAACGTATTATAATAAGCCTGCATTACTATAAACAAGAGAACACAAAACTTAGCTAGGTAGCAAACTAATTTTCCTTCCAAAAATTCTGATTCTGATTCTGAAAAAATATTATCTGGCTCTGTCTGAAAAGATGTCAAAGTAAAAAAAGAAATACATGCATTAAATACCTGTTTAAGCACAGCTCTTACAAGTGTGTGTTCCTTCCTTGGTTTATTACTCAATTCAACAAACAGTAGCACATTTCTCCAAAGTGAATTTTTTGGGCCCCGACTCCCATGTCAGTAAGGCATTTACATATTATTCTGTTAAATAAAAACAGCCTGACAATGGTTTACAGAAACATAATTCACTCTCTTTTAACACAGTGAGATGTGACAATATAATGGGAGCTGCAGTCGCTCTGCCACCAGTGTACTGAACAATCATATTCTTCTCAATCAAGACTATTCTAGATGAAAATCAAGTATCAAACTGTGTCTGAAAAACTTGCATCCAAATGGACTGAAGTTTTCCTCTGTAATTTGATTAAACAGAAAGAAAAGGAGAGGAAAAAGAGGGGAGAGGAGAAGAGGGAATGGAGAGATGCACTCCTAATTACTGAACCATCTGCTGAATCCTGGATGGCAGCCAACTCCGCTGGCAGCTGGGATAGAGGGATGGGGGAGGGAGAGAGAGAAAGGGGAGGGCTGTTGTTCGTGGTGGTGGTGGAAAGGGGACAGAGAAGACGAGGAAATAGAGCGCTGAGAGAGCGAGAGTGTGGGAGGGAAAAAATGAGGTGGAGTAAAAACCACCAAAGCCCAGTATGAATTCCCTCCAGTGATCTAATGAGTAGACTTGGCAGAGGGGAAGAAATATGGCCATAAAGCAAAGGGCCTACAAATACAACACACTATAAATATATGCTGCAAATGAGTGACTGGGGTGAATGACTGCTGCCCCCCCTTTTCTTTTTTACATTGGTGATGCAGACACACAGCTGTAGGAGTTGGATGTCCTGTACTATAGCTATCCTACTGCTCTATAAGCCAAGGAGAGACAAGATGCTCCAGGTTGATGAATGTAAAAAGAGGCTTAAAACAAGAAAACACAGGCACCCGTTGACCAACTGGAGGAGCTCAGATATAGTACATGGCTGCAGCATTTCTGGATGTTAGTACTCACCGAAGAGGGCAGGCCAGGGGGCACCTTCCTGATCTTTTTTGGCTGTGGTTCTGAGGGGAAGGGAAGAGAGTGAAGTCACATAAGCATGCTTGCTCACTCAAAGATCAACCACCAACCAAGAGATTTTTTTAATGAACTCCTTTCCTTCTGAAGCCCTACTGACTTTGTGACTACTCATTAATGCATAATCCAAAGGTATTCTAGTCTGAAGTTATTCAGCGCTTTCCTTGTTGAGAACTTATTGACTGCACTTCCTCCTACTAAGAAGTGAGATTCCTCAGACAGTTTTTAAAACCTCACCAGAAGTGATGATAAGAATAAATGCAAATCAGAACAAAAGAAACTTTTTTCTGATGACAAATGTGACTAGGGGTGTGCATATATCGTCTACGATATTATCTTGATGCGTTACCAAAGTTAAAAATGAGTGAGCAAAAGCACCAGGAAACAAATTACAGACACCACCAGCCTCGCAGTTTATGCCATTAGATTTAATTGCCAGACGTGGATCATCCTAACTCACATGAAGGTATTTAAAAAGACAAATGTTGATCAAAAAATGACAATCTGCAAACTCTGTCGGAAATTGGTTGCTGTTGTCTTTAACAAACTCGACAGCTTGTTTCACCATCTGCAAACTAACCACACAGAATATGAAAAGCTTCGGAAGTCAGCTTGTGCGTAACAAGACTATATCAGCCAAGCTAGCAGTGCAAAAACACTCAGCTAAGTATCTGAGTGCTTCAGATTTAAGTATATAACTAACACCAGATTTCCTTAAATGCTGTTTCCATTACTATCATTAGTAAGCAACAATTAATATGCTATTAGCAAGAGCAGGACTTTATCAAACACATTTTTGAAAGATGCAAATTATTGTCTGCTTATCGTTATCCTCAAAATCCCAGAAAATACGTAGATGCAATTTTTTTTGTCAATATTATACATCCCTATTTATGACTGTGTTCAGCTCTGTACTGAACAAGTTCTTCACGGTCTTACCAATGGGGTCCTGTGCGGGTCTCCTGCGAGGGTTGCTCCCTTCATAGGAGGAATAAAATTGGGAGTTGGGCTTCAGGCCAGATGGGGAAAGGGCATCAGGACTAGGCATGGGTATCTCACTAGGCAGGAAGGTGGGCTAAAGACAGTGTAAAACAAAGCAAAAGCCCATGTAGTGTAACAGGATAGGTAAAAGTAAATCATATGTAAGTAAATTAAAAGTGGTACAACTACAAGAAAACTGCCAAAGGGACACAATTTGTTAAAAAGAGAAAGAGGAGAGAAGGGATGATATCTGCATCTCTGCCTGGTTTACCTGTGTTGCAAATGATGAGTATGGTCCTCGCTCAGTCTTCCCTGTTAGAAGAAAGGAAATGAAATTAGGTCATGATTGTGAAAATTGGGCTTTTAAAGTATTATTAAACACAAAACTGGCTATTCCCCTTTCTCCATTTGGGTGCCTCCCATCTGCCGTGTCAGTGTATATGATGATGTGTGGCATTTATGGCTGTGGACAGCAAAACAACAACAAATTGGCCCATTATAAATGGTTCTGGGGCAATTGTGCACAACCTCTGTCCCCTCCCCAGACAGTTAAACAGAAGCGAGCTATAGGCCGCTGTAGTCCCAAGGGAGAGCCTTGTTTGTGCATGGGCGCCCTTTATACTCCCACCCTTTCTCAGTGAACAAACCCCTCCTCCACATCCTCCCTGAATACCCTGCACCCCTTCATGCCATAAATATGATTTGCCCTAAAGTGGTATGTCTAACCTGTGAAATTCTACTCTCACAAAGAAACAACTCAGTGGGTCTCAATCATCATCTTCCTAAGCATTGGTTTGGTCCTAAGAAATGTCTACATCTGATTCATGGATACGTTCTTAAACCGCAGAATTGTTTGCACCTGTGTTCCAGTACTGTTGAATCCCATGTGTTCGCAAGTTGAAAGTGCATGCCAGTTGTTCCTAATTAGCATAGGTTAGTGGCCCACCAATGTCCACATAAAGTAGAGAACAGTGAATGAGCTGCCATATTTAGTAGCGTTAGTAGTGGATATAAAATAAAACAAAATAGGTGCATGGGAAGCTCTTACTCGATCAGTGAACACTGTATAAGGAGAAGGGCGCACAACTGTTGAATTACAAAGATGGTCGGATCTCAAATCCGAGGCAACAAAACAAACATGGAAGAGAGACGCTGACCAGTGGAGGAGGACAGGCTGGTCCAGAGTTATCTGAGCTGGACCAGCGCATTAGGGCCATACACGGCTCTCTCAGGTGTGCCATCAGCTGAACAGACCTCCCAGGTCCCTTCAACTGCCCTGAGTCTGATCTCAGATGAGGTGTTGGACAACCAAACGCTTACACACCGGTCAAAATATCTGAGAGACACTTAATTTACCAATTATTAGAAATGAAGATATGTACTTAAACATGTTTAGTTTTTAAGTAATGTGTTTCCTAATTTTAACCTACAAATAATCACAATGTAAAAGCTAAATAAATATTAAATCCTTAAAAACAAACAATTGCTTGCTGTCATTTTTAGTGCAGTGTTTATTAGTTTTAAAAGAACAAATACTGGGAATACATAAAATAATGGGAAAAATATTAAATAAATACTAATCATGACAAAATTATTATAACTTAAATCTATATTATATAAGAACTGAAGAAAACTAATCCAGTTATTTCACACACAAACACAAACATGTCAGTACTCAAATGTGCATAATGTGCTCCTGAGTGTGCGTAGATTCTGTTCTTACCTAAGAACAAATCCCAGAAAAGAAAACATTGGTGAATTCCAGTATCTTCATGAAAACTTGGTAAGTGGATTTTACAAACAGATTTGTTCTTAAGAATGGTTGGTAAATGAGACCCACTGTCAGCCACAGTCCATTCACATAAACGTGTGTATCAATCTGCGTGCTATTCTGACATTAAGTCCTATAATTAGAAACACTGATCCCAAAGAAAAGAAGATGTGGAAGCTATAATGTCCGTGCTGCAGCAGCTTAAACCTTCTTACCAACAATCCCTGATCCAAATATGGGAGCAGAGGCCAAACTCTCTTGCTCACTGTAAAGGCCTTCTTCTTCATAACCCTGAGAGAAACACAGCACAGACATTAGGGATATAAAAATAAATCATTATATATTAATTAGTTCCATCATCAACAATAATAGAAGACAATGTGGTTGGCTTGAGTTTTTAGGCTTTCTATTACATCTTGTACATGATTCTTGATATTCATTTGCAGTCTTTTATTATCTTCTTGTTGTGCATTCTTCATGTGCAGCGGTTTGATGATAGTAGATCAGAGAATTAGCCGAGAGAAACCTGGCAAATTACTTCCTTCTGTCTGAAAGTTGGCTTGTGAGCTGCACTGTGTTGTTTTTGCAGCTGACCTGAAAATGTCTCTGGAGTGATTAACAAAAATTAATTCTCAGCCTGTGGGAAACACTTCACTATACGATGGGAATTGTATGGTAATCATGGGACTGAATAACAGCAGCTCGTCCTTGATATTGTTTTGTTCTGTTCTACTTAAAGTAAAATCACTTGAATATAATTATATGGCATAAGTTGTCGCACTGACTTTTCATAAGGTGTACAAACAAAGCAAGCAAGATCCATAGATTAGTCCAGTAGAAAGACACCATTCACAATGTCATCTGAGCAGTTTACAGGTAAGCTGTTAATCTCTTTAAAGTGTTGGTAGATGTAATGTGGGATGCTTCAATAACTGCAAACATGTTTGATATTTTTCAGTATCTGGACAAGAGCATGGCTTTCTGAGCTGACTCACAATATCTAGTGAGACACAAACCAACATTGTATGAGATATATAAAGATTAATGAGAGGGTCTAATATTTGTGAAGCAGGTGATAACTTTGTATTTACCTATGACCATACTGGTGTTGGTTAGATGTAGGATGAACACTTTGTCAGCCCATGTCACACACAGTTTGTATGTGTAAGGATTTATTATCACACGATCACTCAAACTTTTGCTTTGCTTTGCTCTAGCTCTAGCTCAGCTGCATGACATCTACATGGCCAGGTTCAATTTAATAAGTGAAGATGAACTGTACCCTTCCCTGGTGGAAAGACGGACTGTTCTGTTCTCCTGGCCCCCAGGGACTGGACCCACTCCTCTCATCTATACCTGGAAGACAAAGAACTGGGTTAAGCCTATATCTATAAGGCAGAGATTTACACTTCAGCTTCTGACAGCAAAGTTTAACTTCAGAGAATGATGACCTGCTTTGATACGGGTTTTCAGGGATGCACTTCTCTTCAAAGCTCACACAAAGACAGCATAGTAACAGCACTGTCACGTAGTGTGGATATGAGCTGTAGGAAGTTTGAATAATTAACACCCAGTATGAGGCTCCCAGAATCATCCTCAACATTCCCCCACTACACTCCTTTACATTTTCCATGGCAACAGTCGTTCATCACCCATCTATTCTCTCACATTTGGCCCACACCTTCACCTTAACACAGAGGCAAGGTCTCAGTCTTACATAGCTGACACATGTTATCTCTGGTCAGAGCACTTCAGCTTACAGAAAGGTGAACATGTTTGAAAGGAGTTATTTTAAAGACTGGTGAAGCAGAAATTCCTGCCAGTCCCCTTTCTCTCAGTCGCCTCTTATACGGCAACACAGCCATCTCCAGAGGAGAGCTGAAGCTTAATTGTGTGCTGATTTGCATAATTGTGCATATTAATGAAGCAAAGCTCTATGAATATTCATATGTGTGTTTTGTTGTCTAATTAAAAAGCAGAGAGGGGAGAGAGGAGGGAAGTAGAGGCGGGTTAGAATCACGACAAGATCAGCAGCAAAACAGAATGATGGGTCCACAGCACCGAGACACGCTGGATTGCCGTGACAACTGTGATCTATACGCACGACACCAGCAGAATAAGAGATGAAGGTGAAAATGTCTTGTCTCTTCTCTGGCTGACCGTCAATCTCCACATCAATCAAAGGTGATAAAGAAAATGCTTGAATGGTCATCAGTTTCCAAGCTGCAGACAAGGAAAGGCTCAAATTCATTGTTGTGTGTTCATGACTGCATTATACTTTTGAGACTTCAAGTTGATTTTTTCACATGTAAACTAATCAGACAAAAAGTTCAGTGCATACTATTTAAGGAGTCTAGTTTGCTTATTCTCCTATTACATTCTAAAATTTAATAATCCACCTACAGTGTCAATATTGTCTCATAAAATTCAGGTTTAGAGACAAGTGGGGCTTCTATGTTTTGACCACATTAATGCTTTGTCTTATTGGCATGAGTTATAGTTTTTGTTTCTGCTGCCTTGGCTTGTTTGTGCTTCACATTTAGTTGTTAAACAGTTGGAGAAACTGAATACTCAAAGAGACACAAGAGATCACAGTGCTAAACATTATATACAGATGAGTGTTTTAGAGGTTTGAAATAAAATGACATTCTGAAAGACAAAATGAAAGGATGTGACAAAACAAATTTCATTGGTGCCACGAGAAGCGAAAAAAAACTATGAGGAAACCATGAGTAGTGCAGTCCTCAGACGGACACCAGGGCCAGAAAGAGAAAAATGAAGAAAAGGGTGAGTAACATCAGACAAATTCTCTGGTGAACCCCAATGCACTTCTCCTCCCAGCACGCAACACCCCTTTAAGCATGGCTAGTCTGTAATTACACAGGAAGAAATACTGGAAACAGACAACCAGCTTGAGTCATCGGCTTCATGAGCACAACTCCGGCACATACATTGACCAAACTTGCAGATGTCTTCGTTTTTACAGGAACACTGCCCCAGGCACCTATAACTGAGTGTGCCGTTTAGTCTACACACCTTCTTCCTTCCCCTGGCAAAGTGAGTCACAGACAAAAAACATAATGTCAGATCAAATCTCAAGAGAGTGAACACTGTTAATGAAAAACTGAACAATGTACAATAACACGTCTGGCTGTTTTAACCTGTGAGTCACCAGGGACTTCTCAAATGCAACACTGTGCCATAACCCACGTATACAGCTTAGAGTACATTTCAGTGGCTTTGTTCTGACACTGTGAAATGATATACATTTGAACATACCATCTGAACACAACATTTGCCTGAAATTACAATTTTAACTAGTAAATCTACTTATGACTTTAACATTCTTTAGTTTCTGTGATTTGCTAATACATCTGTGTTTGAAAAATGTAACACTTTATGCAAATTTGAAAGTCTTCCCCTTCTGCATTTGAGCTCACACTGAAGTTTAAAAATACATTTTAGGATTCTCGGTTTCCAGTGACCAAAAAATGAAAGCGCACTGAAAACTGCTTTAGTGAAAGGGATTGAATGGGCACATACAGTAAAACCAGAGCAGAGATCTGATCATCATCACTGAAGGCTCTAGTAGCAATGTTCTCCATAGCCCCACATGTTAAACCTCAACATACCCGAAACCCTAAACATATGGGATAAAAAAAGGCATATAACTGACCCTATAAGGAAAACACATGGCAGCTGCTCCACAGAAAGCAGTAATACAGTTTGACCAAGTCACTGAAACTAAGATGATCACAAGAACAGACAAGAATTTACATGGTGTTTGCAACTTTACGACATAGGTACAAACATAAACCGCACACAGAGGCACATTTTTCTCTGTAATTATTCCTTTAGCCACATATCCTACCTGAACATCAAGCAGTACTGCTCTGATCTATCCAACTGTCAAAGTACCTGTGGGAGTACGGCTTGTGTGTCAGTGTGTTAGTGACAGGGCTAAGTACAGGCCTCTGAACAGGGCTGACTGTACCAAACCTGGCAACGTCACTCTGACTGATGCTAAGGTAGAGCTAGAAAATATACAAATAAACAAATTATTCCTTTAAATTATTCCGTAACATGATCAGCCACCCAAAATGAGTTTTCACTATAAACAACCTAAAGAAACTTCATATACCACTTCTCCACTGACCATCTACATACTCTGTAACACAATCACCATCTTGCCAAAATATAGCTAAATAGTGAACCGAAGTGAAACTGGAACTTCCAGGTTGTGTTCTGGAAGAAAGAAAACTTCATTCAAAATCCCACTGAGATTTCTAATCTGGCTAATAAGTAAAAATCCAGCTTTGGAACACAGCTGTTTCCAATAATATGTTGTGAGTTTCACTACATTTGCTTACACTATAGATATATTTCTTTAAAACAACATATTACTGGCAATGACATAATATTTTTACCTGGCTTTTAATGAACACCATTTTCCAGAAGCCTGAGCCCGTCGTGGCTGAAACGTCACCAGCTGATGCTGGTCGACTGGTGGCAGAACTGAACTGAGGTCTCGAGTTGAGAGGTGGCTGTAACTATTACTATCTTAATATGTTTTTTAAAGCTTGGCTGAGAGACATGAGACCAATATCAGAAGCACACAGTTAAAGTTGTGCTATTTGGACTGCTGAAGTCCAGAAGAGTACACTAAATAACAGTGTGTGTAAATAACAGTGTGTGCTGTGCTGCAAAGCGATCAGGGGAACTCAATTTTTTCCAATGCTACAAAAATACATTTTTAATTAACCTTGTTAAAACCACAAAGGTTTCAACTTTCAGTAGAAAATGTTGTAGTTGTTGGTGGCTTGACTTAGAATATGAAAAAAAAAATCCCAAGGACTGCATTTAGTTTTTGAACAATGACCAATGAAAAAATGGTAAATGAGAAATTGCATAGTCAGTTAAGATACTGGAACAGAGGCTAACCAGATGTGATGACTTGATTTTGGCTCTCTATAAACTGAGCATGTTTAGAGTGTGGATGGGCAGAAGTGGAGAAGTAGGACAGAAGATATTACAGAAAATGTCTTGAAACCTTTTGCCAGTGCTGTAAAACTTAGGCTGCTCTGTGTGAAGGCGAAATCAACAAATATTTTTAGAGCTAACAAGTGTGAGTGTTTGATACTGAAAGGACATATTTTGGGTGGAGTATAATTTAAAAGGATGAAATTCAATGTCAGCAGCCATTGGCTTGCTAACAGCAACATCTCTTTTATGAGCACACACCTTGCCTTGACAAAAGAACATGTACAGTAAGTGGCCCTCAAGTGAACAGAAGAAATAGAGCCCCTTATACTCCACCCTGCCACCGCTTGCCTTACCTTTTATCTTTGCTTCAATATCCTGTTTCATTTCAACAGGTTTCCCAGATGAAAAACGCACTTCCCTTCTACAGATATGA